TTTGACCCAAAGGGCTGGTTTTTATATTTTTTATGGCTTTTTCCAGTTTCAACAGAGCTAACAGTAGTGACTCCTCTCCCAAATCTTTCATTTGCAAACACTGAAAGTCAGAATGCGTTTCACCTTTCGTCCCGTGAAGGCGGCTCGGTGGAGAGGCGTGTCTCCCATGTCATTTAACACATTCACTTCTGCACCAGCCTGGAAAAGAGGAAAACTTTAAACATCTTCCACATATAAAGAACTATCTTGGTACATACCTATATACAGTAGAAGAGAAAATGTGTTCTAGGATGGTGCAGTTGGATGTTCTACATATGTCAACTAGGTCAACTTGGTTGAATAACGTTCAAATCTACTATATCTTTGATAATTTTCTGCTTATTTTATCTGCTATTGAGAAATTTAGAAATTATTATTGGAATCTTCTAAAAAAAAAAAAAAAGAGCCACAGCCCAGGCATGGTGGTCCATGCCTGTAATCCCAGCACTAGGGAGGCTGAGGCACAAGGATTATTTCAAGTTCAAGGCCAGCCTGCTCTAGAAAGTGACCTCAAGGCCAGCCTAAGGTGATGGAGAAATGCTATCTCAAAAAGACAAAACAAAGAAACTATGCAAAGTGAAAATAGTTCTTAAAATACATGAAACATTTCAAAACTTAAAACAATTGTTGTTGTTTGGTTGACACCATAAATCAATTCATAGTAAAAGTAAGTTTCCTGAAAGGCAAAAATCTACCAGATAAGAAAGTACTTTTTTTTTTTTTAAAGGCTATACATCTTAACTCTAGAAGTATTATAATGAAAAAAGAATTGCCTCTGAATATAATATATTTCTTCCACCACCAAGTTAATAAGTATTGAGATTAAAAAAAACACCACATAAATGTACACATAAATTGAAAGCCGTAACCCAATTTCAAAAATATCCATGTGAAAAATTATTCAGAGAATTGAGAAATACAAAGTCTCAATTCTCATTAAATATGGTTGTAAGAGATTGTGATATTATTTAAGATATGCTTTTCTTATTTTTGCAACTATCATTCTTATAAAACTGAAAATTGTATCTTCATTAATATGCTCATTTGCCATTTTTGAAAACCACTAACATAAAATTATTAAAGATAGATTTTTTAATTCATCAAGCTAACCTAATTGATATATTTAGTAAAGAAAAATTAAGTGTCTTTTATGACAAACTATTACTTTAAGCTATTGTTACTTAGCTTTTCCAAGACTTTCATCTTATAGTTTCCATAATACGTTACTGTAGTCATTAAAAAATTAAAACCATAAATAGACCTTCAACAGATCCTGGACCACCTGTCTGTGTCCAAAATAGCAGGCCAGATGAAGAGGTGTCCAGCCCAAATTAGACTTACTTCTTCCTATGAACAGAAGCAGATAAGGCATTTTTAGATGTGGTTTAGGTCGTGTTACAGTAACTAAATTTCCTCCCATGAGACTACGCCAATGCTAACACTCTCCTGCACAGAGCCCCTGGTTGCAGAGGCAAGACATAGGACAGAAACAAGTGCAATGGGCCAGAACTCGCAAGGGCCAGGTGCGGAGCCACCTTTTCACTTTTCCTTTGTGGTGCTGGAGATCAAACTCAGAGCCTGGCACTTGCTAGGCAAGAGCTCTATTGCTGCCTTGGGGAAAAAGCCACCAAGCTCCATGTTCCATGACCACAGCAGCCTCACCAGGTTCCAGCGTGGCGCCAGCATGGAGAATTTATTCCTCAGAATCAGGATCAGAGTGCTCAGTGCTCCAGGCACTCAAACCCTGCAGACAAGAGAGAGGAAAATCTGGCTACTGCTCCAGCTGGCAGCAGACCTTGGTATCATCCACATGGTAATGGTTTTAGGTGCTTGCTGATTGTAGGTGTTCTGAGGTTAAGAAGGCTTCCACCTAGATTTCAGAAGGCCTGGGAGGCCAGGCAGTGTGCCCCTGGGAGGGCAGTGTGTAAAGCTGTGAGTGAAAAGCCTGTTCTGTGAAAACCCCAGAAATTGAGAAAAGCCAGGAACGTGGATCATCTAAGGGAAACTGCAAGGAGGGAGCAAAGTGGGCCTAAGAGAGAAGCCGTGGGAGCTACCATCAAGAGTGCCACAGGGGCGGAGCCACATGGAGCTCACAACTCAGCACAGATTGCTTCGGATGTTCCACATGGAACTACAGGACTTAATATTTGTCCTTCTGGATTTTGGACTTGCTTTGGTCCCAACGCTTGGTATCCTGCTGTGTGTACCTTTTGGACTTAGCATGATTTGTGTTGTGGCTTGGCAAAAAGTTTGTCTGCATTTTGTTCATGTTTATTTTGTGCCATTGGATGCTGGAAGTGTTTAACTTTTCCTTTGTACAGAGGCTCATGGCTAAGAGTTTGCCTTAGATGTTGGAGGAGACTTGGGGCTTAGACTTTTCAGCAGTGCTGAAACTTTTAGGACTTTGGCAACTTTTAGAGATGAGCTAAAATGTATTTTTAATAAAGGGAGGTACATGAGTCTGGAAGTTCCAGGGACAGAATATTATGGTTTGTGTCTAGTTGTCCCACAAAACCTCTTGCAATCATGGGGTGGACTTCTAGAGTTTGTCATCAACTCATGATCCACCGAGATCATGGGTGTGAGTGCTGCTGCGATTATGGGCATGAGTACTACACCCAGCCTGGGGCTGACAGCCTGAATGCATCTTAAGGGAGACAGACTTGCTCTCTGCTTCCATTTGTTGCTGCTTCTCCTCCCTTTTGTTCTTGCAGCTTTGCTGCCTTCTGCCACCATGAACTGCTGCCCTCTGCCATGTGCCAGTCTGCCCTGGAGCCAGCTGTGTATGGACTGAAACCTCCAATAACTGTGAGGTTTAATAAATAAACCTTTCCTTCCTTCATTTTGGGTGTTGGGTATTTGTCACAACAACAAGAGATGAGTAGCTGAGACATCTGGTCACTTCTGTAGCAAATTACCACATTTGCAATGATAATACAGTATTTAATGGTACTTTACAATCTTTCACCCCACCTTGGTTTCTCAGCTAAATGGTATAAAATAAAACTGCCGTAAAAATAAAAAAATAAAAAATAAAAAAAGAGCTCTATTGCTGAGTTATATCCCAGCCCTGGAGCCACTTTTTGACTCAAAATCTTAATCCCTAAAAGGACAGAAAGGAAGTAACAAGGTCACGCTCAAATCACTTGATCTCCTGCAACTCTCTGGCTCTCAACTTTAAGTCTTTAACCACTTGTTCTCCAACCAGCCAAGACACTTTCTCTTGGCATAACACTGCACAAGAAGCAGTTCTCTTTGAAGACTTCTACAGGAGGTGGACTCTGCGACTGTTCAATCCCACACCATGGAAAGAGTCTACAGTCCCTCCTGCAGCACTGGAAACGCAGTCAAGTCCAGAGACAGGAACCGAAAGCGGCATCTGCCTGTGGAGAAAACGCCAGCCTATGAGGATAATGGGTTACCAGAGAGCAGAAGAATCCCACTACATAACCAGAACCCAAGTTAAAAGCAGTGAAACATCAGATCCTACAACCAAAGCTACACAGTTTAGCAAAAAAGATAAGACCACTGCTGCTTAGAGCAGAGATGCGCCAAAAGATTGCCACACTTGTAAATCGGGTTGCAGAGACTGCAGCTGTATCAGAGTTCCAACGCCCACCCTGCCACAGGGCTACGAAAGCCCAGGAGACCACTGCTCCCAGGGGCCACGCCAGAGGCACGCCTGCAGCTTAACAGCTCTAGGGCTCTGAGGGAGCTGCCCTCAGCTCCTGAACTTTGGGTTCTGAACTGACAGAATCTTCAGCCACAGACCTTAAGAGTATTCACCACAGAAACGATAATGACCCCCAACACACACAAGCACGCACGCACGCACGCACGCACGGCTCCAGCTGCCAGCAGCATGTCTGTGATTATCTGCCATTTACCCAAACTGCCGCATCTGTCTCTTCTCACACGCGTGCCCTGTGGAACCACTAATTACACAGCCAATAAATCTCACAGCCTCAGCCTATTTCACCAGACATTTCTTTTGCTTTCTGTTCCTAAGTGAAGCCTGGTTCTGCCAGATGCTAACGAGCCCCCACCCCTATTCCTCAGGTGGAGACCCCCCAGTGTCCACATCCACAATGAGCAGGAGCCACGCAAACCTCCACATCAAAACCTTGTGGCTGCCCTTGCTCACGCCTTCTCTCACGTTCCAAGCTCTCCTTGAACCTCTGCTCCCTCGAACGCCCCACTGCTGCCACCTGCCAGCATTCAGCGGCTTATCCCTCTCCAGGTAGCCTCAGGCTCACAGTACTTCCCTGACCTCAAATCCCAGTGCCATCCTACCGTCGATGCAAGTATCCTTCTGTTTGTTCCATGCTGTTATGGCTCGCGTCTGGATGCGCCCCCTAAAGCCTCACGCAGTCATACATGGTAGCTGTGGCAGCTGACTCCAGAGTGTGGGACTGATCCATGTTGCAATGCTAGGATTAAGGATGCATGATTGTATCAGTCCACTGAGTAGTTTGGCGCCATGCTAACCCCAGTAGGCTGGATACAACATAAGGGACAGAAAGAGACTTGTCCCCTTCCTTCCCTCCCTTGCTTGCTTACTACCTTCTGTCCTGTGGACTGTTTCTCCTCTGGGATGCCCCCACCATGCCACCCTACCTTGGAGCCAGCTGATTATGGGCTGAAGCCTCTACAAATGGTGAGTAAATGAATCTTGCCCCCCTTTAACATCAGGTGGTGGGTATTTTGTCTTGGCAACAAGAAACTGACAAACCATGTCTCTGCTCCATGCCAGGTACCCACCACCACAGCCAACACCTGGGCATCACTATGGACATAGAAAGCCACTTTTCCTCCAACTCCCAACATGCCAGCTTGTTCATGTAGAACTTGTTCTTGGACTTACTGGGCCCATCACCCCTTTAATCACATATGCAACAGCCCCATGTTAACTGTTAACAATAAATGCGGTATATGGTCTTTGATCACACAGGTCAATATTTCTTTATCAATAATACCCTTGCTTCAATACCTTTGTCACAGCTGCCTAGGAAACCCCCAAAGCCTGATAAATCCACTAACTCAGAACCACACTGAGGCTGCTAACCAATGATGAAGCAAAGTAACAGCCCCTTGTGGATTCTCAGCAACACAAGCCAGGACACCACGCTCCACACTTAGGCTAGGCCGTCCTGCTGATAGGGCCCTTGTCAGGTATCTTTCCTACCTTCCACAACAGGTATCCCAGGCCCTCCACTGGTCTCCTCCAGCTTCCTGCCCAGGCTCTGGTCCCTTAGGAATGATCTCACCTTGAAGCTCTGTTCATGGAGCTCCTTGGGCTTACAGCAACCCATCTACCTTCCTGCCCTCCTGATGTCAATGACTGGCTGCTCTTCCCAGTCTGTCCCATCCTGGTTCTCAGGTACTCTGCTTCTCACCATCTGCAACTTCTCTCTTTCTGTACTCATAGGAAATAATAAAAAAGCAACCCGCCTACCTCCCCCAGCCCTCCCCCTCCCAGCCCCTCCCTGCGTCCACTCTTCACTCACTCCACCTGCTCTGTCCCATCAACCATCTGTCCACTGCGCCTGGGTTTATCTCTCACCTTGTCATCATCACTGTGCTTAGCTTGAATCCAGATGTTGCCAAGGGACCCTAGAGGCCCTCTTCAGCTGCCACCCCACTGCCTGGCTGCCCAGCCCTGGACAACATGGTCCTTTCTGCCAGCCATGGCCCCATGCTCCAGTCCTACTCACATCTCTGCACATCCCTCCAAGCACCATTTAGCTGCTCTGATTTTTCCTGGTATGTTCATTATTGTCTTTTTTTTTTTTTTTAAGTGGCCTTTCCTGGCCCTCTGTCACTACTTTGGTTACATGCTGTTGACTTCAGACTCTGCAGTCCCACGCCCAACCCTCTCCTAGCTGACCCTCGAAAGCCCGCAGCTGAGTTCTCCCTGCACTCTGCACATGTCATCTCCACACCAAACACGCCCTTCTCCTCCTCCTGCGCTTCCACACCCAGTGCCCATTTCTCTGCCAGCCATCGTCGCCATCCTTTTCCCTCCCACTCAGTAAGTTCCATTTCTTCTACTCCAAAATATTAACTTATTACATGCACTTTTCTCTACGCCCACTGCCTCTGTCTCCATCTGCCACTGGAGGGTCCTCTAAGTGATTAGAGCAGTTTCTGAGCTGGTCTACTAACATCTAGTTTTCTAAGGGGAATTCTGAATCAAGAAATTAATTTGTAAAATCATAAATAATCCCCAGAATGACTCTAATATTCTTTTTATTTTTTGGTGGTACCAGTGATCGAACTCAGGACCTCGAGCTTGCCAGGCAAGCATTTATTCCACTGAGCTATCACCCCGGCCCCATATATTTTTTTTTATTACTTATAGATATCTAAAGTTTCAATGAATAAAAAATATTAGGCTCTTAAGTATTTAAAAAGAACAGATCCCTGCACAGAATTTTATGATGGTGAAGACACGAGCAGGTATTACTGGGCAATGTTTAAGTGACCACACCTAGCCATCCTAACAAACTAACAGCACTATTTGGAAGCAGGTATCTAGACTGCCAATGTATGCTTTTATTCTACCTCTGAAACTTATTCCTAGAACACCACCCTTGGTTTCATATGAAGTATATTATGTGTGTAAAGGTTAATATTTACATGTCTTCATTTGTAAGCACTCACATGAGGAACAGAGAGGATCAAGAGGACACAATCAGCACAGCAACGCCTACAAGCACCACTAGCTAGATCTGCCAACCCAGACCCTAGAACTGTCAACCTTCAGTGTGTGTCTGGGACATGGCAGAGTTTCACTATCTCATTTTCAACGTGACATCACTGTATTCCAACAATAACATCTTTACAGCGGTAATCTTTAATTCTTGCAGGAGAATTATAGTACATTATACCATTTCCCCCGTATTTCAGGATTTGGCACACAAATAAGTTAACTAGGAAGTGCGGGGAAGGAATGCCCACATGGAAATGCGACACAGACCATCTTGCCCATGCCCTTCGGTCCCATACCTACATATCACCTGATTATATCACTCCTCTACAGAAACCCTTCAAACTGCCCTTAAGACAGAGGCTGACTGACAGGTATAATGAGGTGATATTCTGGAAAAACATTAACATATGTTTCTCAGTTTCACATTTTCATTTCATGGAAAGTAGGTGACTTTCCAATAATTAGCCTGAGGCTACCATGGATCGGGGAGGGGTAGACAGAAAGGAGTCATTAAGGAGGATCGAATATTTTTAGCATTCAAAATGGAATCCTGAGGTAAAGACTACGAGTCAGCCTTTGAAGGCTGGAGAGGAATTTTCAAATTCCTTTAACTACCTCAGTCTATTAGTTTTGAGACCACTCAGGTTACAGTTTCTCTCCTACTGCAAAGATAGCACTCCTTTCCCATGAGGTATGCTATTCTAGAAGAATGTCACAGAGGAATAAAATATCCATGTATCCATCTGAAGCCTGCTCTTCCTGGGACAGAGGGACTGTGGAAGGCAAAAAAAGATAAGATGAGACATGTAGCTTCTGATCTCAAGCCCAGGCAGTGAGAGAAAGAGGAGACAGGAAGAACAGGAAGCTATACCTGAGATGCTAGGAAAAGACGTGTCTTAGCACCCACAGGCCAGAAGGCGAACCTGAAACGCAGCCACCGGGAAAGCTCACAGGACCACTCTAGACTTCTTCCTGTCAGTCATTCCCACCACATGTCACTCTCCCCAGAGAGCAGTGTGGTGGTTAATTCTGGTAGGAAATATGACCAGGTGAGGGATATCTAGGAGATAAAGCATACTTCTGAACATGCCTGGAGGATGCTTCCAGAGAAAGCTGGTAGACAGGTCAGCAAGCTGAGTGGGGAAGGCCTGCCCTGAGTATGAGCAGCACTATCCCAGGGAGTGGGGGCCCAGGTAGACCAAAACAGCAGAAGGGGGAGCTCCCAAGACTCTCACCCTTCCTGAGTGGGGGTTTGGCTGTTATTGTTGTTGGGGGTTGTTTTTGCTATTGCTGTTGCCTGTGAAAAACTCCAGATTCTTTAGCCTTTGTGTGAAGATTTGACTAGCACCTCTCAAGGTGGCTTTCAGGACTGGGCAGCATGACTAATGTCTGTCTCTGTCTGTCTCTGTGTCTGTCTGTGGGTCTCTCTGTCTGTCTGTCTCTCATTCACTAACTCCCAGGCCTGCAGCTCCTTGGACGGGGCAGCTATTATCCCCCTGGCTCTAAGACAAGGACCAACTGTGACCAAGCTGAACCACAAGGCCTGTGGCACAGGTCAGATGAAGAGGTGGAAGAGACTTGGGGTGACACAAAGCAGACAAGAGCCTAGGTGCCTCCTGAGGTAGCCAAGGAGCACCGTGTGACAGCGTCACAGACAGGAGTTTAACTTCACATCTAAATTTTCCTCAGCTTAAGAAGGACTAAAAAGACAAAGGTTACTGAGGAACCAAAGGCGGCTCATGGGGCTCATGACAGCTTACCTCACCGCATGAACACATAGCAAGGCCCACCCTTACTCTAAATGCCAGTTTGGGGGCGGGGACAATAGCAGTCCTTTTGATAACCCCCGAAGACATCCAAAGACTACTTTTTGGCCCTTCTACTTCACTGTGCGAATGTGAAGGATTGTGAAAATCGCAGACACCTTAGAGAATCAAGCCCCCGCACATCTGAGATGAGGCTGTGATACGTGGTAACCTTGCTCTGCAAGGCTCAGTGTCACCTGGCTGCTCCTGCTCACCTCACTTTGGCCTTGCCCCGTAGGCCCTGGTTATGCATGCTGCCTCTCTACTCAGGCCTCAGCACGTGCTGCCCTTCTGACTGAACCCCTTCTCTTCTCTTCCCTCACCTACACACTCTCTCACATATATCCCTGGTAATCCAGACTGCCCTCTGTGAGGGCAGAGATCTCGCCTGTCTCCTCTCATCATCTCCAAGGTACCTTACATGCTGGGTCCACAGAAATCCCTCAGATCTACTGGCCCAGCTACAAGATCTTCAAGAAGAAAAACACAGCCAAACCTGTGACGCGTGCCTATACTCCAGCTATCACAGAGGCTGAGGCAGGAGGACTGCGAGTTTGAAGCTAACCTCAGCAACTTAAGAACACCCTATCTCACGGTAAAACTTTTAAAAGGCTAAGGATGTCACTCAGTAGTAGAGTGCTCGCCTAGCATGACCTTGAAAGACCCTGAGTTCAGTCCCCAGTATAGAAGAACCAAAACAATTGCCTGAGAAGCGGTAATAATTAGGAAGGGATCTCGGTTCCTCTGACTTGGACGGGATGAGAGAAACATTTTACCAGGCTAGTGAAGGTTCTGCCAAAGAGAAGAAATTTGTCATATGTGAGACCAGGAAGATGAGTGATGAGTACACGATGCACAGCGTAGACTCCAAAGAGAGCGCTACGCATCCTCCCAGCGCTCACCTTTGCAGTTAATGTCAGCCATTCCTTCCTTCCTCTCCATGCATTCTAACAGCTGCCTCACTTCTTCAGCGTTGCCGTTTCTGGCGTGATGGAGAAGCTGTTGCTCTGCCTCTGTGTTCATGTCTAGGTTAGAAAACAAAACACTGCTATTATCTAAGGCCATGACTAGCCTTTAGATAGCACTTCACAATACAGGAGAAAACCATCTTTATTTTGTGACTAATAAGACACACAGTGAGTTGTGCCGCAGGGCTAGAACCTGACCCTGAGACTCCCTGCCGCGAGCATTAGTACTGACGAGGTACAGCAGACACTTGCACAAGCTTCCTAACTTCTCAAAGCCTTCATTCTCATCTGCAGGATACAGCATAACCAAACTTCTAAACCGCTGCAAGGTGGAGGGCACGGAGGTACTCAGCAAAGTACACTGCACCACCCAAACTTACTGCGGCACTGATAACCCACCACAAAGCTAGAGTGTGATCAATCACACTTGTAATTTTATCAGTTCACCGCAGCTTTGTCCCACCTCACACCTACCTTGTGACTTCCTACTAGACCAATATTAACCTTCGGAAGCTATACTTGGAATCTTACCAGTTAATTATAATGTTGTCCCACCTTGAACCGGCCTCACTGTGTGGCTTTGCACCATGAAACACCCTTGAGAAGCACGGGCAGTGGGAAACCAAATTTCTGTGTCCCCTTGTGTCTCTTAGAAGCTATCTGTCAATAACTTCTCCCTATTCTTACAAAACAAAAGTGATCACTCAGATGGAAACACTGTAATGCACCAGGCGTGGTGGTGCACTCCTATAATCCTAGCACTCAGAAGGCTGAGGAAAGGAGCACCACAAGTTCAAGGCCAGCCTGGGGTACTGAATTTAAAGTCCCCCTGAGCTACATAATGATCAAGAAGAGGAGGAAGAGGGGTAGCAGGAAGAAAAGGAGGAAGAGGAAAAGGAGGAACACTGTGATGTTAAAATACAGACATATGCAAAAATTTCTGAAAAAATTTAGATGAGAATTTTGGGGTGACTATAAATATTCTTCCTATTTTCTTATCAAGACTCAGGCTAAACATATAACATATCAAAATGGGCAAATATGGTAACTCACAGAAGAAATGCAAATCTCATTCTTACTAATAATCAAATACAAATAAAAACCAATGATTTTTTTCCCAACTAGAGAGTAAAGGTTGAAAACAAAGATTAAACATAGCCAACGCTAGCATGAACAAGAAACGTGCACTCCTACAAACTGCTGACATGAGCTGAATGCATGAAGTATTTCATATGTTGCAGGGGGAGAAGCAACATTGGTAACATCATATAAAATACACATGTATGTAATTTACTTGGGACAACTATTTCTAAACATCTACATATAGAAACATACAAGATTGTTTTATAACCATGTTTATAAAGATTGCATTGCCTGCCATAATTGGAAAAGTTAAAAGTAACTCTATCAGTAGAGACTGATCAAATCTTCCAGAGAAGCTAACTGTGAAGGTCTCCAAGGCGGATGGACAGCAAGAATAGGAGCTCCCAGAAACTGACCCATCCCCAGGATCCCCGTGTGAGGCTGGTCCTGTAAGGGGCCCACCTACTATATCATTTTTCAGGTACCTTTTTAATTCCCCAGTTATCTAAGTGCCAATATCCAAGGACAACTAAACATCTGAATAAAGCCGCTGCAATATGAAAAACAGATCAACACCAAACAAGAAAGAAAAGCAACCTGGAAAAGACAAATTTCTCAGAGAAAAAAAAATTGCTTTTTGAGCGGAACCGGGGATTGAACTCAGGCCCTTGTCCTTACCAGGGAAGCACTTATTCCACTGAGCCATCTCCCTGGTCCCCTCAGAGGAAAAAAAAAAAAAATTTTTCAGAGAAAAATTTTTAAGTAGGATTGTTTTTCTTTTTTTTCTCTTTCTTTCTTTCTTTCTTTCTCTTTTTTTTACTGGCTCAGGCTGCCTTAAGGGCCGTCTGGTAAGGCAGGTGGAGCTGGGGACTGAACTGTGGTATCCCACACCTGACTGCATTTGCATGAGCAGGCATTTAAACAACTGAGCTAACTGGCAGGCCCCCTAAAATTTTTAAAAAGCAATAAATTTAGAGAATGAGAGAGTGTATTGTGTAAGAACTACAATAAAATGTGTTAAGTGAAATTGTACCAAAAAACTTTGCAGATTAAAAATTTTTTTAATTTTTAATTTCCAAATCTTCTCAGTGGAAGAGTTGGAAAATAAGGTTGACAGTAGGTCCTAAAAGTTAAAGCTGTTAAGAAAACAGGAAAAAGCCCGGGGAGATGGCTCAATGGAATAAGCGCTTCCCTGGCAAGTGCAAGGGCCTGAGTTCAATCCCCAGTTCCGAAGAAAACAGGAAAAAACAAACAAACAAATAAAAAAAACCTCTAAGAGAATTAAGAGGACTGGTCTAGGAGGTCAAATGTCCAAACAACAGAAGTTCTAGAAAAAGAAAATACAATAATCAGAAAAAAGAAAATAAATAATTCAAGAAAGCTTTACAGAACTGCAGGGACCACTGAGAATCCAACAATTCTGAAAACTTCCTGGTCTGTAGAAGAGATCCCACCAAAGCCTATTTGAACTTTGGAGACAGAAAGAGTCCCGTAAGTTTCCAGAGATGAAAAAACAAGGGGAATAAATCAGGTGAAAAGGAACAAATGCTTTTGACTTTTCACCTGCAACATGAGCAGTTAAAAGATAATAAGGCAAAGAGGAAAAGTATATCCAATCCCAAATTCAATAACCAGCTAATGAAAAACAGGAGCAGAATACAGTTGTTTGCAAGCTGTGAGAGCTAACCAGATCCTCAGGTAAGCTAAAGCACGGCGGGCTAGCCCTGAGCTACACTCCCTGCCCACAGCCATTTTTAGGCAAGCAAAGATAAAAACTTACTTCTCACACATTTTTTAGGAAATGAAAGGAGGATTGGGCCCAAAATTCAGACGTGAAGAATGAGGAAGACAGGCTACTGGAAACAGGAGATTAGGACAGGGAATCCCCGGAGTGAAAGGAAATCCCTGCGCTTTGGCTGTGCACCTCCCCTAGGTCTTACCTGTTCTCATCTGGCCGCCGGGAATACTCAGTGTACCTTTCAAAGGTGTTCTGTTTCCAACTGTACCTGGAGAACAGAGGTTGGCCTCTGAGCTCAGAAGCAGAAAATGAAGAGCAACCTAATTCTCTGACAAATTCCTGTCAGCCAGAGGCCCAGACCTGCACCCTATCACAAGACCTAACAGATAACCACCATGGGCAGGGCCTGCTCAACCTTCCCCCCAGGCCTTGTTCACCGAGTTCCCTCTGCAATACTCTATAAACTCTCAGGGCAGACAAGCCCAGGCTCCTTCAGAATTAATACTTTTTCCTGGGAGACTACTTCTAACAGGGGCCAGAATGCCTTTCTTCACATGGCTTGCTCATCAACTTTTATATTAATCAACTCCACAGTCACTGACATAATTATTACAACAACACTTGACTGCTCCTTTTAAAAATTTCACAATACACACTGTAGGCCCTTCCCTAAAAAATACGAAAAATAAAAATTTAAAAATAATAAATATTTCACAGTACTTGTATTAACTGTAGCATTATCTGTAAGGCAAAAGAAAAAAAACATGGGGCTCGGGAGATAGCTCAGTAGAATAAGTGCTTGCCTTGCAAGCACAAGGACCTGAGTTCAATCACCAGTTCCACCAAAGGAAAAAAAAAAAGGTCCATTAATAAAGATTTACTCACATAACTGAAAATTGTCATATTATGAATAAAAATGAATTTCTGAAACTATAATTTGCAATACACTGCCAGATCAAGATGGTTTCCATTTACAGAATAGGTTATGGATTGGCCTATAATCTCTTCATATGTTCCACACATTCAGAGAAATACTAGGGATTAAGATCATTAACATCAGAGTGGTCCATGACACCTTGTGGTGAAATTACTAAGGTTTTAAGCGGTTTTTCTTTTCCTTGATGGCTCTGGGGATGGAACCCAAGGCCCTGCCCTCACTAAGCAAGTGCTCTGTGACTAAGCTATATCCCTTGGCCCTAAATAGTCTTTTTTGGGGAAATGTCCTATAATATGAAGACATTTCTTTATAGTAGGCAAATGTAAGTGACTGAAAATTTTTTTTCAAAATCTAAACACCTAATTGAATGGGCATTTTATGACAAGGATTTTATGTTTTCAGTCAGTCAAGCACATTAAACAAGGGGCAATGGTCTACACTTGCTGGTAAGCTACACCGAAGTATTTTGTGTAATATTTTTTAAGCCTTTAAAGACATATCAGAAGTTTTCTATAACATGATTGTTGGATCTTCACCACACTAACCTACCTAACAGGAAAAAATTAACATTCTTCAATTTCTGACAACAGGAAAATGATAAAAATAAATCTAGCATCTGAACAGTTCTCTGTAATGTATTAGCTCTGCAGTTACTCATAATTACTAACTGGGATTAAAATTTATTCAGCAAATATTTCTTGGTTATCTCCTGATGACAGGGCCTACTACTGGCAGGAAGTATAACGATAGCTAATCTACTCTCTGCCCTCCAGAAACAGGGCAGGCAAGTGAACATCACAGCAGGTATCAAGTCCAGCAATGTATAAGGGGCAGCAGCTGCACAGAGAACAGGAATTCACTGTTAGCTCTCTACGTGCATTAACGATGGAGGGAATTACAGAGAGAAGGGAATTTTAAACCAGTACTTGCAGAGGAAGTAGTCTACCAAGACCACAAAGGTACACAAGATTTCTAGTCTGGACATCTAGATAGAAAACAAGGGGATGAGTAAAGACGTGGAATGGAAAAGTTACACTGGATTGTAGTGAGCTGGGGAAATGGAGATGCAGATATCCAGTAAGAACTAGCAAAGAGCACCCGAGCACAGTGGGGCCAGGGAGGCATCTCAGGGGGAGATACATGCTTGGCTCGGTCAAGGGCCTGGATTCAACCCCAGCATCAAAACCAAAAGGAAACAGTAGGAGTTATGAGGGTTATAAGCATCTAAATGGTCATTACAATCCTGCGGGTAAAAGGGACCCCTCTCTGCTGGGAGGTGGCTAACCTTTGAGGAGGAGG